TCTGGCCCGAGCGTTCGGCGGGGAGGGCCGGCCCCGGGCCCTCGCGGGCCGGCAATGTGGGGCGCGGGCGCGGTGGCGGGAGGCCACGTGGCGAACAGCGGTTGGGCGAGGGGCGCGGCGGACGTTGTCCGGCCAGGGGCGGACACGTCCGTCGGCGGGATCTGGGAGTCTCTTTTTTTTAGGATTCGGAGGTAGGGGAAGATCCGAAAAAAGGGGGGGGGGGTTAAATAGGCATAGAGGGAGCTAGGAGAGTCCAAATGAGGTGCGGTTTTCGGCCACGCGATCATGATCGAACGCTCTAGGACATGGAGCAGAGTTTGGTGGGTTTTGGGCCAAATTGGAGGGGTGTTGGGCTGCAACACACACGAGGCCTTTTCGGTCCCTCGGTTAACCGTTGGAGTATCAAACGAAGTCCAAATGACCCGAAACTTGACAGGCGGTCTACCGGTAGTAAACCAAGGCCGCATGGCAAGTCTCAGTCCAATCCGGAAATGTTTAATCCCCACACACGAAAGAAAGCTAGAAATGACCACCGGAGGAGAACGAAGCGCCGGAATGCAAAACGGACAACGGGGAAAATGCTCGAATGCATGAGATGAACATGTATGCAAATGCAATGCACGTGATAACACGATATGAGATGCACGAAAAAGAAAACAACACACGGAGACAAAGACCCGAACCCGAGAAATAAATATAACTTAATGCCGAAAACGACAAGAGTTGGAGTACAAATTGGGAAAGTAATATCTGGGGCGTTACACACACCCGCCATTCCTCTCTCCCCCAAGGTTCTCCTTCTATTCTACACAGCCCTGCCTCTTTACCTGCACTTGAGTACCCTTTGTTGCTGATATCAGTTTGGACTTCGAGTGAACTACTACTACCATAATAGGGGGGATGGAACCTATGGTTGCCGGTACGCTACCTGATGATCTGGTGGTTGAAATCCTCTCCCGGCTGCCGTTCAAGTCTTTTTGCCGCTTCAAATGTGTCTGCAAGCCCTGGCTTGCCTTCTCATCTAATCCAAACTACCATGAGAACCTGCCGAAAATTCCAACTGGCCTTTTCTGCCAATACGAAGACCTTAATAAGAAGGCTACGAAGCTTATTGGCCAACCCCGAAATGTGGAGCAAATTGATGGAGCACTTGGTTTCTTGCCACACTACCCACAACTGGAGCTTGTGGATTGTTGCAATGGCCTAGTCCTTTGCATGCGTAGGAGCATGGATTGGAGCAATCGTACAATTATCTACCACTTCATTGTGTGCAACCCCGCAACACGAGAGTGGACAAAGCTGCCTGATAGCCATCCTTACCAAGAACATGGTATTTGTGAAGCAATGTTGCTTTTCAACCCGTCATGTTCCCCACAGTTCTATGTCCTCAACTTTAAACGGGATCCTTTAAGTTCGTTCTTGAGCGGGCTCGAGGTGTTTTCATCCAAACTTTCCACATGGCTTGTGTGTGATGCATGGTGGAATTCTGGGATGCCCACTGTTATTGGATACCGACACTTGTTCATAGATAGTTCACTTTATCTGTTTAGTCTGCGGAGGAATTCAAGGAGGATCTTGGTGTTGAACGGCTTTGAGGCAATGAGTTCCCGCATACCGCCTAATCGTCGGACTATCAAGTTGCCAAACGACCCTTCTGTTGAGTCTCTGAATGGCCTTTCCGTTGGTATGTACACTCAAGGTTTCTTTGGACACTCTTTAGGGGCCTTGCACTTTGCATTGCCAGAGGTGGATGGGCGTGCGATCCGGATCTGGAGTCTCGATGTTTCCGGGCCTTACAAGTGGAGTGTGAAGCATCGTCTTAGTATGAGAGATGCATTTGGAAGAGATGACCTTGCTCACTATGACTTCACACAACAATGTCGGAATTGCGCTTACAAGATTGTCGCTCTCGACTTGGAGAGTGACGTCATATTCCTCCTTGACCAGGAAAACCAGCTTCGTTCGTACGCCATCAGCACTGGGAAACTTCATGAGCTAAATGACATTGAACAAGATCATGAGCATAGCTATGACAAGTTCTTTTATTATATTGCATCCGTGCCTTTTCCTTAGCTATTTTTGTCGAAAACGAAGGGACTTGGTCATAAACATAGCACTTGAAGTTGCTAGCAATTGTTGGGAAACTAAGCTGAAGATGATTTGTGTCTTCACTTCGGTAAGTAATACTATTGCTGCACGCAAGCAAGGAAGCCGGCCTAGTCTAGTGGATGATGTTAAGAAGGCCTTTTTGTATCTTCATTTTATTTCCGTTTGGTTAATTTGTAAGGGTCTAATCAAACACTTTGAGTTCTGTAATATCTACAGTTTTCGAGGAGAGGAGCACCTGATCTAATTACACATAACATCCTAATCCAGTAATGCCCAACAAACTTGTGACTGGCTGAAAACAAAGTTCGCCATACTCTTAAGATGGAAACTGTCGTCTGCAATGATGTAATTGCTTGCATACAGCAGCAGATAGACTCTGCTGACAGAACCAAAAACGACCACCCAACAAACAGTTATGTTGACAAAGAGACGGCAAAATGCCACCTGACCTACTCTGTGATCACTGTTGAATGGATCGCTTCAGAAATTACAGTGCCAGGTCACAGGACAAACAAATAGTCGGATCTCGGCCGGTGGCTCCTCCTTGTGGTCTTCTTCCTTCGTCGGTCTCCAAGAAGCCAGCAGAGCCATCATGATCGACTCAAACACAAACAGATGACCGACCAGCTACAACAAGTATGGCTCGACAACAGCCTGCCCAAACCCAGGTCCAGCCTTTATTTTCAGGCCCCAGTAATAATCCCTTAACAGTGTGATGAAGAGTCTTCGCACCAGTTAGAAGAATATTTCCTAGTTTGCAAATTCTTCCTTTCTCACTTCTTCTCCCAATCTCCTGATCAGAGCACCTTCAAAAGCTTCATGACATTTGTTTGACAGCACACGCTTTTACTGAACGTTGATCTCTTCACAACCGGCTGGTTCTTCAGGATGGAATGACGAAAGGTTGCCATGGAGTTCAGAACAAAGTTGGGCATACATCTGACGAAATTTCTGTATCTTCTAACATCGGAGAGGCGCCAATCTGAGATTTCGAAGAAAACTGGGCGATCAACTGATCTTCCCAATCCATTTCGTCAGGTAGCACTGTGCGTGCTATATGCAGTCATGGACCTCCTTTTTTAAAAGGTAAAAGAAAAGGAACATGCATGAGACAGTCTGTTGCTGGATTACCGTTTTAATAATATGAGCCGTATGCATCTATCTGATGCAGAGGCTGGGGTAAAACCCCTTTTCGGAAAAAAATTAGACAGTCTGATGTAGATATACTAATACTGCTATGGTGTTAGCTATTCATGTACTCCCATCTCCAAAATAAAAGGCATAAAGTTTCGCTATAAGTCAAAGTTTCTAAATTAGGCCAATTTTGTACAAAATAATATCTACATCTACAATACCACATAAATAATAATGGATTCATCTTGAATTATATTTCCATAATGTATTTACTTGGGATTGCAGATATCGATATTGTTATCTATAAACTTTATCAACTTAAGGCAACACTTATACACCTTATTTTGGGATTGGTGGGAGTATTATGCTAGGACATCATATAATGCTCATCATACCTGGTCTACTGCCTTAAGCTCCTCGATTATATCCTTTGCATTAGGTCTTTTCTCCATGCCAGGGTCCACACATTTTAGGGCTATGGTGACACATTGTCTTACTTGTTTGGTATATTTTTCCACTGGTTTATAGTTTGGTGTGGTTACAAATTTGTTCTTCCAACTCTCAAGCACCTGTAAAGTTGCAACAGTGAGCTTGAATAATTGTATATGCACAAAATCTAGATTAATTCATCTTACTTTCTCCGTGAACTGCTGGAAAGATGGATCAGTATGGTTGGGACTATGTTGCTGGAAATATGAATAGTCCCATGGATAGTCCCTACCACCTGTGATTATCTCTATGACTATGACACCAAAACTGAAGATGTCTGCCTTGTACGATACTACACCTCGGACTCTGTACTCTGGTGCCATATATCCACTGCAACATAATACATAAGTAAGAAGCACTACAATCATAAACAAAGAGATGCAAAGTAACAGAGGGAAATATAAAACAAGAGTTGCAAGAGGTGTACAGTGTTCCCTCTTTATTATTAGTGAAAATTCGTGATTGTTGCTCGCCAAAGATCCTCGACAAACCAAAATCGGCTATTTTTGGCATCATAGTAGAGTCCATCAATATATTTTCAGGCTTAAGATCCAGATGAACCATACGGCATTCTTCATGAAGGAAATGCAGCCCGTTGCAAATCCCCTTGATTATCTCGTATCTTGTATTCCAGTCAAGGCCCGAAGATTCATCTACCGAAATTGTTTAACAGAAAATATTATATCTCTATCTTAAGCCAGCGCAATAAAGATAGAGACCAATCACGTCCTTAGGCTAGTGACACTACATAGTTTGGGCTCTGTTATATGGAAAGACATATAGATAGAAACAAAGTACAAGTATAGTGTGTCCGTACTATACCAGAAATATGTTTGTCGAGGCTTTTGTTGCATACATACTCGAAGCAGATCAACCTTTTTGGTTTTTCAGCGAAAACACGCTTCCCACTACCACTTGGGAACTCCATCGTTTCCCAAATTGATTCTGCACAGTAACCTAGTAACTGTACTACATTTGGGTGCTTAATCCCCATGAGATAACATACTTCGTTCTGGAATGCATCCTCTTTTAAATGTATGTCAAAAAGCTTCTTCACAGCAACAATGCTCCCACTTGAAAGAACTCCCTGTGTTGTAAATTAAAACTCTCTTCATAGTATGCATATGTATGTTTAATTAATTAATTATTATTATTTAGTCTTGCCAACATTTAAAACGTAGAGTTAAAAGATATGATTGTACCTTGTATACTTCTCCAAAACCACCTTCACCAAGGATTGACTCACTGGAAAAATTACATGTGATGGCCTTCAAAAAGTCTAGTGGAAAAGACATTGGTGTTCCATCTGAATCCTGTAGCTTCTTCTCTAATTCATAATAAGGTCTATCCACCTCAGCTGGCATGTATTTTTGGGGATTCATAGGCCCGTATACAACCATCAAATTCACCTCATCAACAACTTCACCAGCCTCTTGATGGAACATGTTTTCTGTGATAACCTCATCTCTAAGACCCTCACTCAGTTTCATGCTCTGCACGATGAACTTGTCGGCATGGTCATGCTCACGAACATCTCGTGCTTGCACTTTTATCTGCACGTGATACTTGGATTCTGGTTGCACAATGCCTTTGTATGGCTGTGCGCTGTATTGTATGCTTGGCAGTTGGATGTTGAAGGCAATGCAATTACGTGTATTGTTGGTTAGCTCAATTGAGCATGATATCTCCTTCTTAAGCACAGAAGGAAGCCATAGTTCGAGCGGATTAATATCAAGCATGTCATCTTCATCGAAACAAGGGCTTATCTGCGAGGAAAGAGCTATATGTGTTTAGATGATGATGTATACTCTCCATATTTTATAAGTACATTCGTAAGAATGCAAAAAGTTCTACATGTATTTAAACTAAACAACTACATGTATTTAATCTAAAATAAAGTTTGGCCGAACACACCAAGTGTCCCAAATTTGGGTTTTTTTCTACTGTTAGCCCAACTAACCAGTAATTCAGGCCAACTAGAATAGTTGTCAAACAAATATTTGGGACTATGCTAACCTAGCAGGGTTAAGATTAGCTAACCTATGTATTTTAGACTAGAACCAAATTAACACAGCTTTACAGTTGAATAACTGACTGTTTCACACTTGATTGGCTCTCTGGTCTCAATAATACTATTCTCTCTTTTGACTCCGGATGATCGATGCATCTCTTTCCACATTTTGATTACAATGTATCTTGAACTAGCTAGCTTACCTGGCTTAGACTTCTGACTATTTCCGATATGGATGGTCTATGTTCCGGTTCTTGTTGCCTGCACTGTAGTGCTATTTCAAGGCATCTAGTTACTTGCTGGTATTGTAGTAACGTTGGTGGTTTATTCCACCTGTGTCTCCACCTTCGAAGTACCTACATTTAACAAATGTTAATTATTTGTGATAACCCCATAATCTTACAGCGCAAACTCTATGTCCATGTAATGGTGTGTGTATCCACGGTAGCGCATCAGTTCACGTCAACACCAGGAAAATACAAACATCCACCCATGTGGGATATATATCCAGAAACATGTGCTTAAATTACATGTGTTAGTCAGCAGGGTAGTATGCATATTAAAGTGTGAAACTATTGTGCAAAACATCATCATCATTCTAAAAAGTGAGAGAAATCGCCCTTACATTATTCTTATCAGGGACGGACATACACCCCGTCACTAGTTCAAGAATTATGGCACCCAAACTATATATGTCAGACTTGACTGAAATTTTGCCAGTGTTCTCGTATTCCGGCGCGAGATATCCTCTGCAAAAGAATACGAAACAAAATAAATGTAGGGTTGTAGATAGACAAAATGTCAGTTAGCTGGTGGTTCTTCTGATGCATAGCTTACCGTGTTCCAAAATGTTGACCCATAGTAGTTGAGTTTTCATTTGGTCTTGTCAAACCAAAATCCGTAATTTTGGGGACCATATGATCATCTAGTAATATATTTGCCGGTTTAAAATCCATATGAGAAATATTCTTTTCCTCGTGAAGATAACACAGACCCTTACAAATTCCGGTGATTATCTTATAACGTGTTTCCCATTCAAGTCCCCTTAATTCGTCTGTAGAAGAATATAGGCATAAAATAAAGCAAGGGGTTATGTTAAATGACAATATCGAGGAATGATTGAATGCTTTTAATTAAAGCCTGTCACTAACTATTGATCCTGACTTGAAAATTGAGCACTAGTCAAGGCAATAAGGTAAAGAAATAAGAGAACGGCTGCATCAAATGCAAAAGGATGGTACCAGTAATATGCTTATCAAGGCTTCCATTGCTGATGTACTCCAAACAGAGCAATCTTTCTCTCACGTTGACAAGGATAATTTTTCCTGACCCAGCCTTTTTTATCGTCATATAACGTGTATTAGAACAGAAGCCAAGAAACCGGACTACATTTTGATGATTGATGGTCATCAGGCTAATGATCTCACGGCGAAATAGCCTGTCATGAACTGTGTGTGCATCCACATGCATCCTCTTGACAGCAACATTAATCCCGTTTGGGAGTAAACCCTGTTGGTCAGCGTATAAATGATGCTCAGCACTAAAACTACAATATCAAAACAGAGTGGCCAAGTTCTGCTTCTATTGGTGGTATTTTTCTGAACGGAAACACAGTAGGAGAGTTTCCTATTGTACAAAACAAGATGAATAAGTGGTACTTTTCAATCAAACTAATGACATACTACTGGAGTCGAGATCTTTATATAATTTCTAAATGGTAGGATTACCTTGTAAACCTCTCCAAATCCACCCTGGCCAATTTTTCTGTCTTTGGAGAAATCATTTGTAATGCGCGGTAACAGTGCTAATGGCTCGTCTCTGTTAACTATACGCTCCAGCACACTTTCGTTAGGTACAAAGTGCTATTCAGAAGTAGAGCGTGGAAAAATTAGTTTGCTTGATACAGACAGGCTTGCAGAAATACATAGCGGGCACAAAACGAAAACAAGATGAATCAGTGGTACTTTTCAACCGAACCAGTGACATATTACTGGAGTCGAGATCTTTATATAATTTCTAAATGGTAGGATTACCTTGTAAACCAGTCCAAACCCTCCCTCGCCGATTTTTCTCTCTGTAGAGAAATCATCCGTGATGCGCCGTAACAGTGCTAATGGCAGATCCCTCGGGTTCTCGTCTCCGTTAACTATACGCTCCAGTAGACTTTCCCCCTCCATTCTAGGTACACGGTGCTATTCAGATCTAGAGCATGGGAAAAATTAGTTTGCTTGAGAGTTGAGACAGAGGGGCTTGCAGAATGAAATACATAGCAAATGTAGCAAGGAGATGCGTACCTGCTGGGGTTCAGGCCCTGTACGAGTACGAATGTAGTCTAGGAAGCGCAAACTGGATCTGGAACTGCTCGAAGCGATTTTAGCACATTATACAAGATGCAAAGATTGTGCTTACGAGTTAAGGCTGCAACTGCAGGCTAGTAGCTCTGTCTGAAAGTCTAAAAGAGTTAGTACAATTTTCTACAACCAAGATTGCCACTAGTCAGTACGATAGTTACCTCGATGGATCAGGCCGGTTCAGGTCTTGAGAACGTCACCGCTCGCCGGCGGCAACGGGCAAGACGGCAAGACTGCTCGGCGCTCGGCGTTCGCGCAGCAGAGGTTCGGCGGTGCCCTGCCGTCCGAGCGAGGGCGAGGACAGAGGGATGGTGACGAGGGAGCAAGGGAAAGGAAGGGGAGCCGGTGCAGGGCCGGCAGTCGTGTAGGCGGGCGGCGGGGATCTGAAGGGAGCGACGCCTCTTTTTCTCTTGCTTGCAGAGCTTGACCTGGCTGACACACGGTTTCTCAGTCAACGACCATTCTCGTAGGAGTGAGTTACCACATTTATGACACACATTACCCCATTTGGCGGAAGTTCTATCGAAATACTCAGATTTTGAAGGCTTTTAACACGATTTTACTCTGGTCTTGCATTTTTGCTTGATCATGTTAGATAGGATCGGTATTTTGCGTCAATGATTCGCAAAAAATGTGTAAAGAACGGATGGCATCATCAAAGATCATGTCCAGACTTCTTTTGTCCATCTTACACCTGTTCAAACGCTGGCTCAGCCTGAAGCACATGACCAGTGCTATTTTTTAATTAAAATAATTATATTTGGGATATCAAAATAATATAATATACCTATATTTTAAATAAAATATACATTTCTTGTTATTTCAGGCTTTTTCCGCCTTTCAGGCCGGGCTATGGGCAGGAAATGGAGCCTAGGTGTTTTTGACCCTGGGCGTCACCTTACACCTTGCCTAACGGACACGAAAGTGGTGTTCTAGACGAGTTGCCTCTCAATGGGTTAATTAGTGTCATAAATGCATATCTAGCGGGTAAAATGGGCTAATTAGTGTCATAAATGCATATCTAGCGGGTAAAATGGGTTAATTAGTGTCATAAATGCATATCTAGCGGGTAAAATGTGGAATTCACTCCTCTTCTATTCTAGCGAAATTACTGCACGGCGTTTTCCTCGTACGATGCATCATTCGGTGGTGTTCTGCACTTTGATTTTCATTAGGGCTGCAAGAAAAACATGAGCCTTGCGAGCCGTTCGAGATCGTTTCATTTATTTATTTATTTTGCTTGACTTGGATATCGATTCAAAAAGAAAAACATAGCTCGGTCAAAAAATGAACTGATTATGAACCAACACGAACTTGCTCGATTTTAGCTTGGTAGCTCAGTAGTACTAGTGTCAAAAATGCTCTTATATTATGGGGCGGAGGAAGTATAACTTAATTATGTTGAATGATCCTGTCATATATTAAAAGGAAAACGGAATTATCATATACATTGTGTGTGTGATTTTTTTTCTTCATTTTATGTACAACCAAACATAAAAAATAATGAACATGAAGCAAATGTAGGCTTTAAAAAGACATGTGCTAAGTACTTGCCCAGTTGACCAGCTGACCAGTCAACCATTGACTTTTCTATAAAAAAATGAAAAAAATGTGAATACAAAAATAGTTCACGAAATTGAAAAAATCTTTATATATATATTTTGAAAGGTTTATGAATCCAAAAAAGTTTACATATTTTGAAAAATAGTTCATGAATTTTAAAAAGTTCATTGAATTTGGAAAAATATTTATCTAATTTTATAAAGTTCATCAATTTACAAAAAAGGTTCATGAATTTTTTTAAACTGTGCATTAAAGATAACAAAAAGGATGAGAAAAGAGAAAAAAGGATAAACCGAACTGAACAAGGATATAAAAGAAAAAAAGCGAACTATCTATACACCAACGGGGTGATGGCCTGATGGTTAGAGCTTAGTGCTCGCAACGAAGGGGTTGCGACTCGCCTCCCTCACCCTGCGTGGATTTGGATTGGCCTCTCATGAGGCATGACACATGCAAAAATATATGTGTGAGGAGGTTTTGGTGGGGGAGCGGGGTTTGGATTCAGTTTGCATTTATAGGGTTTGCCTTTTCAAGAATCCCCTTTCTTGGATCCGAGTTGCAGAGGCATTTGGGGTCCTCATATCCGCCATATGTATGTACCGAGTTTAAGAGGTGTCGGACAATCAGAACGTTTGGGCTGACTTTGCTGGCCTAGTAGAATGACATTTTTTCCAGTCCGAACACTGTTTGAGTTGTT